ATTTATTTATTTTTGGGCTATCATCACATTTATTCTTTATGGTTTTGGGTTCATGTTTAGGCTTACGTGTGCCTTGGGCTAAGTCCCTGTGGGCCACGGCCGGTCATGCCCGGATTTGGGGCGTGACAGGAGAACCTATCCCTCAAATTGGCCTTCAAGTGTTGGAGACAAAAATAGTGGTAAGCAGTAGGTAAAACCTTGGGTAAAGCCTCCAAAGTCCTGCGTTCCGATCAGATATGAAGGTAATTGGTCTTTCATCCAACAATATATTCGACAAATGCATAAAAAACCATTCCTAACTTTCTGTAGTCTCCGTATCGACAATTGCCATTGCAAGAGGGAAAAAACCTGAAATATAACATTTTACAATTAGTAAGTATATTAAACGAAAAGGACAAATATAGAAGATTTTTACTCTGAATAATAGTAACATGTTACTTTGAAAATAAGTAACATGTTACTCTGAGAATAAGTAACTTGTTACTTTTGAATAAACTATAGTAATATCTACCTTGATCCCCATCCTTCGTTGTAGCTATTAACAAGGTACCCTTATATTTTCCCTTCAGAAAAGTTCCATCGATAAACAATAGAGGACGACAATGCCTAAACCCTTGAATGGAAGCATTAAATGCAACAAAAAACCTTTTGAAGCATCCACTTTGATGGTTATAGTCAAGACGCAAATAGCTACTAGGATTTGTGCACATTACAATATCCATATACCATCGAATCTTATCATAAGACATAGAGAAATCTTCCAAAGTAGTAGTCCTAGCTTTCTCAACTCCTAACCAAGCGTGATTGTACGTAATGGTGAGCCCGTATTGATCTGTAAATTGACGCACAACATCAATTGGACGAGTTTGGGGATTCCCACGAACTTCATTAACAATCAAACTTGTAATCAAATTTGAACTCATCCTTGAGTTTTAGAAGTACGAACTGCAGCTCCACAAGTGTGCTCATCATATAGAGTCCTAATGTAGAAAAAATTATTAGCACTTTCTAGAGATGCATGTAGTCGCCATAAACAAGCTTTGGACTCCCACATTGAACACAAAGCAGTGACCCGACACTTCTCATTCTTCACATACACAAACTCAAATCCCATGTCAATGGCATATTTACATAATGCAGTCCAAAAATCCTGTGCACCTCCAATAAATCTTTGACCTACATGAGTAATTCCATTCCCCCATCTACAAGACAACAAAGTCCTTTCTTCATGTTGACAAAACATAGGGAGTAAATCCATTTCATCATCAGTAATTTTAGATCCAGTAGCGTCCCCTGATTCTCCAACTCCATGTTTTTCATTTGAAATGCCCATTCCAGTAATAGTCACATCAACCCGGTGAACACCAAGGGGATAAACAAGCGACAACATATTCAAAAAATCAAAATCATCATCAATCATGCATCACGAATGTCCAGGCAAATAGTACGATAACAGTATGCAACCACTATTGTCAAACTTCTTCAATTTACAACTTAAGAAATCAGTTAAATCCTTCAACGTGCAGTTTGACACAACCTTGAACACAATGGTACAATCACCATACTTGCATAACAACATAAGAGGTGGAACCATTTTACAAATCTACAATCAATTAACAGTAAAAATTTACTGTCAATCAAAATAAAATTTTACTGCCACTATCAAAATAAAATTTTACTGTCACTACAAGTTCAAAAGTCAATTTGTGTTTAGTTTGAATTGATAAAATTTTACTGTGATTTAGTATAACATTGTACTATATTTTAGAGTTAATTTTTACTATTTGGTTTGCCAAAGATTGACAACTCATACAGTGTGTCACAGTGATAAAAAAAAATAGAAAATATAAAATGTCCTTATTAAGGTAGACATTTCCTAATCAGGGGCTTTTTGAAAGAAAATTGATTGGGTTATCCTTTACCCTAATAAAAAGGCCCAAAATGGGGTTTCACCAAAAATACCTTTAAAATAAATTGACTTACTAAAAAATTAAAAGGCTTATTTAAAATTAAAAGGGCCCATTCTATCTCCCTATCTAATTCCTAACTATAACTCTTGATTCAATTTTTTCAAAAATTTGAGAGAAACGACACAACAGAGCACTAACGAATTTCTCAAGAATTCAGAGCAACAACATCACATCATAGGTAGGTCTTTTTTTTTTTTTCTTTTTCTATTCAATTAATTAAATATTTGTCTTATCCTCTGCTCAATTGCTGTTATAATATTGGTATTTATATAAATCTGTATCATCAAGAAGAATTAATCTTTTGCTACCTATGCTATTATAACTGTAACGCCCCAACCCTTCACATGTTATCGATATTGTTCGCTTTGGGTCACACTCGTACGGATTTATTTTTTCCAGTGGGTCACCTATTCCAGAACTACTCCAGCCTAAGCACGCTTAACTGCAGAGTTCTGTTAGGGATTTCACTACTCGGGAAAAGGCCTCGATGCTATGTAAAGATCCATGTTTTTACTTTTATAGCCTAGGAACTCCCCTTAATTCTTGATGTGGGATACCGGGACCTTACAATTGTGATAGTCATAGTGCAATTGATCTGAGTAAGAATTCCATGTACTACTCACGTACAAAGCACATTGATGTCCGGTATCATTGGATACGAAAAGTGATGGAAACGCAGCTGATGAAGCTGGTGAAGATTCACACGAACAAGAATCTTTCTGACATGATGACCAAGGTTGCAGAGGCAAACTGGAAGTTTGCAAGAATCTGACCGGGATGGACTTCAAGTCAGAAGTCAGTTATCTATATGGGCGTGGAGGGGAAGAATTGTTGGCTTCAGCCCACATAGAGGAGTAGTTGGAGGTTGGCTCCAAGTCAAGAAGTTACTCATCTTCCTTTGACTTTATTCCCTCTCATTTGTGTATAAATTGAGGTGATGAGGAAGGGATGAAACACAATAGAGACAGAGCAAGAGAGAATCAGAGAAAGTGTGTAAATCTATAGAAAGTGAGTGTGAGTTCTGTAATCTCCCTCTGGAAAATTCTATAGTGAAATCTCTCCGTAGACGTAGGCAATTGCCGAACCACATAAATATCTTGTGTCTTTTGTGTGTGTGATTGATTTCTGAGTATTCTTAATCTTAACACCTAGCTTCTCCGCGGCTCAATCTACGAAATCATACCCATAAAATTCATCCATAGAAAATTCATCTTGAATCCATAATTCATAGGCCTGACAACAACTGAGACAAATGTGATCCTTCCTCCTAATCCATCTATCTATCTGTTTGAATAAAATCTAAAAAATGGATCACAAGATTAATGCCGAAGACGTTATATCGAACCTGAAGGATGATGGCGATTTTGATACGTGGAATGGAAGCTCCAAGGACCACCGTGAGTGGATTTTTCTCTACTTTTTCTTATTTATTTATATTTCAATCTTTCCTTGGGGTTTTCTATGAATATTATGAAAAAGGGACTGATTTTTCCAACTCTGTAGTTGAGTTTTGTAATACATGTAAGGCACTCAGATTTGGAATCAAATTTAAATTTGATGAAACACACTTTCTTTTTCTCCTCATCAACAAAAGTTTCATCAAATCGAGGGAGGCTTGTGCGGTCATCAAATTTTTGAAGAGAGCAGTTGTGCTTCACCGTACAACAAACGACCTACTGGTTGTCTCGGTCAACCTTGATGAAACCTGAAAAATTAGCGTTGAAATACGTGGTATCAGATGAAATTTTTTATCAAATCTCTCTTCAAATTTGATAAAAAATTAGAGATACTCGAAAAGTAGCTTTTCAGAGTACTACTGAAATGAATCTTCCTTCCTTGGTATTAGTTAACTACTAATGACAATGGGAACACGATGAGTTTGTCTGCTTAGACTTTGAGCTCTCCTATGAATATTTCTCTTCTTCTTTTATTATTATTTTTTTCATTAAATCGCTCTGGTAAACAAGACATGGATTTTCAGTTGAAATGCAATGGAAAAAAACAATGTCTGGTAAAGTATCATGACATATCTGAAACACATGCCTCCTTTCAATCAATAATTGATTCACCAAAGTACCTAAATTATTGATATTTTGTTCCCTTAATGTTTGAGCAAAATAGTTCAGATTTTTCTGATTGTTAGGCCAGTGTTGTAAAATACTGGTCAAAAATAGAAGACACTGAATGTGTTACAACTTCAATATTATGATCTATTTGTGATTTATGTGGTAGGCTAAATTTGTGTGCCGCTTCTATGTTCAGGATCCCGTAATCGGAAATACATTTTTTTTTTGTGGATTTTGAGGGGCTGAAATCTTTTTGCCGCGTGAAATTTTGAAGAGCAACTAAATTAGTGTGTTTGGTTTTAATTTTTTATATTTAATTTTTTTAAAAATTGAGTTTTTTGTTTGTTGTGTTTTTTTTTGTTTTTAGTGACTATTTTTAAAATTTTAAGCAATTTTTTTACTTTTTTAGATGTACCTCACTTAGATATATCTAACAAGTAAAATATTTGTGAAAAAAAAATTTAATAAATACACAAAAATACAAAAAATGTATTGAATTTTTATATATTTTTTTTGTATTTTTGGTATTTAGTGAATTTTTTTTCACAAATATTATACTTTTGAAGTATATTTATGTTAGATGTGTCTAAAAATTAAAAAGAATGCTTAAAATATTAAAAATATGAAAAACAAAAGAGTAGAATTTTTCTGAAAAGTGAATTTTGAAAATTAAAACCAAACAGTTTTAGGTGCTGGATTTCTCTTCCCCTAATTGATTTAGAATTCCAAAATAGGAAAATACGGGTCATAGACCATGAAACTTAATTAAACATAAGCAAAACTCTTCCAACACGATAGCTAGTAAGCTAACTCATAGAAAACATAAAATAAGACTTGAACTTGATTGAACCAAACAGGTACTTGATCACACAAGGTCTCAAGCAATCTCCACTTGTTCCAAACTTGAAACAGTCACATTTGCATCCTGCATATAAGTTACACGTGCATATAATTGATCACACACAGACGCTGCAATGATCTCTTGATAATTAAGATCTGATTTAATGTTTGCATTTTAGGCCACATGCCTCCATTCCTCAATTGAACATAGCAGCGATTACACTTCTAACATGGTGTTTAGCAGATACCCATTCAAGAAACCCTTGGGAAAAGTTGCCGGTTTTCTCACCGTTACGATGGAATGTCACCGAATACTTTGCCTTCTCGTTCATCTTTGAGAAGTAAAGCTTATCAGGCTTGACAATCATATTAACTCCTGGTGGTGTTACAACCTTCACAGAATAAGATGAATATGCCTCACCAACGTTGGTCACTGTCCTGGTAAATGTTTGAGATGGTCCTAGTGCAACAGAAAATGAAGGGTAATTCAGCTCTCCTTCAGTTATGCTTGATACTTTTGAGCACTTGATTGGTCTATGTGCAATAATCCCAACTTGCATATCTGTATATCCCAGACCACACAAATATGGAATATAATCATCGGGTTGGATATCATAAACTAACCCAGGATCATTTGCCTTTGAAGGGTTTATATGTCCTGCACCAGTTGCAAATATGCCTGCTGCATGAAGTGTTTGATCGAGGATTGGCTTGCCTTGGACATTTAATAGATCAGCTGTTGTCATCATAGCAGATTTAATGGCAGCTGGTGACCAGTAAGGATGAGAGCTTTTAAGCAAAGTTGCGATGCCACTTAGATGAGGACAAGACATTGATGTGCCACTGATTACGTTGAAATTGAAATTTGGATCTGTGTTGTTCTCGAGAGGGAATGCCCACGCAGCTAGAATGTTCACTCCTGGTCCAATAATATCGGGTTTTAGAATCCCAGGGCTTGCCATGCTGGGTCCTCTAGAGGAGAAGGAAGCAACAACAGGGGCTGATGGGTCTCCAATGACAGTTCCTTTGAATAAGATTGCTGCCACAGGTGTTTTTGTTGAATTAATGTAGGCTTTGATCTTCACTCCAGCTGCATTGCTGACATGTGCTGCAGGAAGAACATGATTATCAGACTCAGTACTGAAGGCATCTGATTCTTGGTTCATGAGAATCATCGCTGCACCACCAGCATTTTTCACTTCAGTTCCTTTATCGATTCTGCCTATCCCGCCTCCTCGCTCACACAATACTACTTTTCCTTTGACATCGCTACCATTTAATGCTCCTGGACCACATAAAGTGGAGCCTGGTTTACCGTTAGAGCCAGCATAAATGAGAGGCAATAAGTTTGGCGCAAAGTCATTTGGCTGGAACAAGGATTCCCCGTCAAATTCCTCCCCATTTCCCAGCTTTGCTTTGGCTCTGATGGTTCTGTCGATGGTGCTTGCTCCAACAGTTAGAATCCATGGCGCCTCGTTTGATAGAGTACCTAAGGCAAGACCAGAGTTTGCTGCTGCACAGCTTACAAATATTCCTTGTTGAACTGCCGCAAATGAGGCTACTACAATGTTGTCTTGAAAGAATGGTGGTGCTAGCTCAGAACCCAGAGAGATTGAGATCACATCAACGCCATCAGCAACAGTTGCATCAAGCCCAGCTAAGATATCAGTATCTGGACAATCCAGTCCAAAGCACACTTTGTAAATTGCCAAGTGAGCATGAGGCGCAATCCCAACCGCTGTGCCCTTGGCATTTCCAAGTGCATCCGCGTTCTTCACGAATGCCCCAGCAGCCGTGCTCGCTGTATGGCTTCCGTGGCCATCATCATCGAGTGGCAGCACGGTTGGCAATCCCTTGGCCGCAACATTAAGTGACCTCGCGCCAATGAGTTTGTTGTTGTATAGTGATGCATTGAACTGACACTTCCCTTTCCATTTAGCAGGAGGTGGCGACATTCCTTTGCCACTGAATGAAGGGTGGCCAGGCAATACGCCGGTATCGAGCAGTCCAACAATTACACCCCTTCCAAAATTTGATTCTTCCCAGAACCCGAGTCCCGGGTTCAATCCCAAAAAGCTTGGTGAGTGAGTTGTCTGTAGTCGGAACATCCTTTCTGGATGTGCGAACATGAACCCATCTTTCATTTTCATAGCTTCAACCTCCTCCTCGGTCAGTCTTGCTGCAAAACCGCTGATCACATGCTGGTATGAGTAAATCAAGCGTTCCTCATTGTCTGAGGCTGCTACAGTTATAGCAGGCAGAAAGGACCGATGATAGCTCTCTAGATTGTCTGATTGGGCCAAAACTGTTGCCTCGAGTCTCTTGACGTGGACAATATAAGTTTGTAATTTACTCTTCTGAGTTACTTCTTCTGTGGATGAAAGCTCACTTCCCTTGGCAAGCTCAGAAGAGAAACATATCAGGAAAGTGAGAGTGAGCAGTGGAATGAAAGTCATGTTTGGTGTCACTAAATGGTGAGTTCTTTGTGGTTCCTTAAGTCGTTTTTGGCGCCAACATTTATAGGGAATCCAGAAAAAGGGGATTGCCAGGGACTTCACAATGGTTTCTGCAAGAGTTAGTCGAGTGTTGTTAAAAAGGGCATATTGGGATTTGGCAAGGCCGGTTGGGGCTTGTTCAAAGTTTTATGTTGCTGTATTCTTTAAAGACGGCAATGGAGATATATGCTAATGGATTGTTTAGAGAATTTCATTGCAATTGTTTTGCTATGTTTGTCTGGTTCATAATAATTGGATGGACATTCTTGATCAATGCGATCATGTGTCTACAATCAGTTGTTTATGTAAGCCACTTGCTCAATCTGAACAAGACAAGTGAGTGTTTTTGTTTGCTTTTCTATGCTATTTGTATTGTGGTGTGGCGTGTTGTGATTGGCAATGAAGTGACAATGACAGTAATTGCTAGAGAGGCTGAAATTTATGTAAAACAATTATGAAATAAATATTGCGTGTAATGATATTGATCTTTAAGACAGATTAAATGGGTGGGGTGAGATTAATTTTGCCTCCACTTACCCGATCAATTGATCGCCATCTGAACTTAGTTGAACTTTGTCATTGACCAGTGATATCAATTTAGCACGTATGTTGGGATGGCAATTTGTTCCATTCCCACCGCGACTCCCCATCTCTCGTCCCGACCCATGTGAGTTTTTTCACTAAATATGTGTAATTATTTATTTCCCTGTTTCTTATCTTTAATTTTTTTCTTTTATTACTTTCATTACTTGTCAATATTATTCCTCATATACCATGTCATCTCTCTCATTACTACTATCGCTCGCAAATTTTTTCTAGCACCTCCCTGCTCCCAGTCCCATACCTCCTCATTATAATTCCTATTATAAATGCCGTGAGTTATGACAATTACATCAAATATCTTCTCCTTGTTAAGCAACTTAATCTTATTAATCGTCATTTGGATTCCACATCTAATGTGGAGACATGCACTTCCTTCACACACGCAGGCCAAGGGTAAGGACAAGCATGCTCAAATTCAATTGAGCTACAGGGTTCTGACTTGGTCTTGTTGAGGATCGGGGGCACACCAGGGAACTCAAACAAGCAATAACACACAAGATTTAACGTGGTTCGGCAAGTCGCCTACGTCCACGGGCAGCGGATTCACTATATTGAACAAAATGGTAAGAATTACAACTCTCTCAGTAATTCTCTCTCTCTCTTTGCTCTCTAAGCTCACACCTCTCAGCTGTGCCTCAACTCTCCTTAGCTTCTCTATATATAGAGATTACAAATGCAAGAGGAATTGAGCTGGCTGCCAGCCTATTTCGGTGGCTTTCCCTTCATGGCCTCATGGCCTCATGGCCAACTCATGGCCTCATGGCCAACTCATGGCTTCCCCACAATGTAGCTGGCTGCTACTTTCCTTCACATGGAAGAATCTGTAGCCAACTCAACAAATCTCCACCTTGGCGAGGATTCTCTTATCCAACATAGTGATCGATCAACACTGCCATGCACCCGAAGGTGCTCAGTTCCGAGAGATGTTGACCAAGTCCAAACAATGTTGGAACTTGATCCCAGAAACTACCTTTGTGAGCATATCGGCCGGATTATCTGCAGTACCAATCTTTTGAAGCAGAATATCCCCTTCATTCACAATTTCTCGGATGAAATGGAAACGGACATCAATGTGCTTGGTGCGGGCATGATGAACCTGGTTCTTTGCCAAACAAATGGCACTCTGACTGTCACAAAACACCTCAACGTGCTTCTGAACAATTCCCAAGTCTTCAATCAACCCATGTAGCCAAATAGCTTCCTTAAAGGCTTCCGTCACTGCCATGTACTCTGCCTCTGTAGTAGACAAAGCCACCGTTGACTGAAGCGTTGACCTCCAACTTACCGGCCCTTTAGCAAGCATAAATAAATACCCTGTTGTTGACCGGCGTTTGTCTAAGTCACCAGCATAATCTGAGTCCACATATCCTTCCAAATTCTGCCCGAGTCGGTTATCTCTCTCGAACTTCAATCCCAGATTGACCATGCCATGTATGTACCGTAGGATCCATTTCACTGCCTGCCAGTGATCTTTTCCTGGATCATGCATATACCTGCTTACCATACTCACAGCATGCGAGATGTCAGGCCGTGTACAAACCATAGCATACATTAATGCACCAACTGCATTTGCATATGGAACCTGTGCCATATGCTTCCGTTCTTCTTCTGTGCGTGGAGACAACGAAGCACTAAGCCTGAAATGAGGGGCCAATGGTGTACTTACAGCTTTGGTTTTCCCATTGATGCCAAATCTGTCTAACACCTTTTTCAGATACTGGGTTTGTGTCAGACAAACCGTGCCCTTCTTCCTGTCTCTCTTGATCTCCATGCCAAGAACTTTCTTTGCTTCTCCCAAATCCTTCATTTCAAACTCCCTTGCTAACTGTGCCTTGAGTTTGTCAATCTCCACCTTGCTCGTAGATGCAATCAGCATATCATCTACATATAAGAGCAAATAGATGAAGGAACCGTCGGGAAGCTTACGGAAATATACACAATGATCAAATTGACTTCTTGTGTATTCTGTCTCCATCATGAACCGATCAAATCGCTTGTACCACTGTCTCGGGGATTGCTTCAATCCGTACAACGATTTGTTCAGCTTACAGGCCCAATTCTCTTTTCCAGCAATTTTGAAACCATCTGGCTGGGACATGTATATCTCCTCTTCAAGATCTCCATGTAAGAAGGCAATTTTGACGTCGAGTTGGGCGAGCTCGAGATCAAACTGTGCAACCAAAGCTAACAAGATGCGAATAGACGTGTGCTTCACAACAGGTGAGAATACCTCATTGTAGTCTATTCCTTCCTTCTGAGCATAGCCTTTAGCTACCAATCTAGCTTTGAATCTGATGTTGTCTCTGCCTGGAATGCCTTCCTTCTTGGTGTAAACCCACTTACACCCAATTGCTTTCTTGCCTTTTGGAAGTTGCACCAACTCCAAGTCTGGTTCTTGTGAAGTGACCCGATCTCTTCATCCATAGCCTCCTTCCATTTGACACTTTCTACATTATGCACGGCTTCTTTGAAAGTGCAAGGAATATTGTCTTCAATGATTGGAAGTGCATAGGCTACCATATCGGTCATCCAACTGGGTTTCTTAGTAACCCTTTTTCCTTTCCTGATTGCAATAGGTTCTAATTGTTGCGGAGCCTCTGGATCTTCATTTTCATCTGAACTCTCTTCAGAGCTATCCTCTGAGACTTCTTCAGGATGGTTGATTGGCTGACTAGTCTTTGTTGGAGTCTCAAACTCCACCTGCACTGACTTCTTCAATGCCTCCTTATTCTGTTGAGGATCTGATTGCTTCAGCATTGAAGTCCTCTTCGTTGAGGCAAAAGAACCGTCAACACAATCGCTTGATAATTGGCTTGAATTTAATCTGTAAGGATTTTTCAATCCTTGCTGGCACGCTCGCATTTATGATATTTTCCTTCGTAGGAAAAATAAGCCAACATTTTAGCCAACAGACAATTACATCAAATATCTTCTCCTTGTTAAGCAACTTAATCTTATTAATCGTCCTTTGGATTCCACATCTAATGTGGAGACATGCACTTCCTTCACACACGCAGGCCAAGGGTAAGGACAAGCATGCTCAAATTCAATTGAGCTACAGGGTTCTGACTTGGTCTTACTCACCTATGAAAACTATTTTGACTGGTTAGTTGGAGTGAGAGTTCTCAATCATATTATATGTCTCAGAAGTGTACTATTTACTATGAACTTTGTTGTTTGCTTCCACAATCATTGCTGTGTATGGACGTTATGTAAATCGTTAGATTCTAGCAACGTCAGCTTGGGTCATCCTTGCAGGAATTCTACGATCTCCCAAAAGGCACAAAACTTTGTTTTTGGTGAGAAATGCTTCATATTTTTCCCATTAGATCTAACATCTCTCTTTTTCCTTTTAAATCAAAACCCACTTTGAAGATGTCTGCCCAAGAGATGTATACCAGTTTAGATTTCTTGGTCGCATCTTGTGAAGGTTATTTCATTCGTTGAACAGCATGAACTTCTCTCCTCCGTAGACATAGGAACATTTTTGCAGTAGACGTAGGCACATGCTGAATTACATATATCTTGTGTTGTGTGTTTTTGTTTTTATTTTCTTTGTAGTTTTGTAGATTAAAACCTTACGATTATTGCATAACACATGCAAAGTCGAGATTCATATAGCTTAATTGGTAGAGGACGGTTTTTAGTAGGTCCAGTTGCTCCTTGCAATCAGTAAAAAAAAGGGTAGAGAAAAAACCTGTGGGTGGATCTTTGCTAAGAGTGTTCACTTTGATAGCGCTATTATATCAGTGGATGCTATGAGGATCCTCTGTGAAAGAACTCTCTTTTCTAGCAATGACAATTCAAAGAAGAAGGGATGCCATAATAGCCTCTATGAAGCATTGACTGGTCTGTGAATTTTCTGTGCATGTAGCATTATTAGTTTACGAAAATGCTAACATGAACTCCAAAAATCAATCCTTGCTTGGTTCAAAATGTTAGTATCATCAGCTGGAAGGAGTTTCTTATCCAAAATATATGTGCTCGTTTTGCAGGTTCAGTGAATTGGCGGTGGTCATGATTGCGGACTTAATGGCATCTGGTGACCAATCAGGGTGGGCATTTTCTTTGCGACACCAATTAGGCGAGGACAAGATATTGAAGTGCCAGACGGATTGTTGAATTTTAACCAAGTGTTAGTGTTGTTTTTCCTGGGGGATTAAAGGCCATTCAGCTAAAATGTTCACGCCAGGGCTAATATGGGTATCAGATATAACAATTCCTTTGAAGTATTCCACCATCCACAACTCCAAATGTCACACCCTTCCCAAAATTTGAGCCTTTCCAAAATCCCAAATCTTGGTACAGTCCCAAGAAGCTTAGACTATGAGTTGTACATGAAGGTAATTTCATTCTAGCCCAGCAAATAGCCTTACTTTTTATTGCTTTCGTAGAGAGGTAAAAAAAAAAAAAAAATACAACTCCAAGACCAAAATATCACATCATTAATGGCGGGACCCACTGCCACCTAATTAGTGGGAACACTAATTAGTGCTCCCAAGCATTTTTCTAAAAATAGACGACATTTGTATTAGGACTTGGTAATGCGGATCTATATTACATGGACTCGGGTACGAGTGTCGGGTGCGGGTATGTATTCAGAGGTCGAAGTTATCAAATTATAAATTTAATGGTACACGGACTCGGCAAAAAAAAAAAGTCATATTTTTATATTTTTAATCTAGTATGTGAGATAAAATGGTGTTATATGTAACTTACAGTATCAAAAAGATATTTATAGCAATTATATAACAATGTGTACATATAATAATAGTGTTATATAGAATTATATAAGAAGTGTTTGCTGAAAAGTATTTGACGCATATCCCATACCCTGTGTGAGTGTTGGGTATTTGACACAAGTATTTGATTTATTTTGAAGAGTCTGTGTAACATAGATGCGGATAATCTAATTCACTAAGAACAAATGCCGATTTGTCTTTAGGGAATTTCAATCTCAGACACTCGAAATATAAAGTAGTATGAATGACAACAAAACTAACTTAATACTCGGTGAATATGTTTTTGGATTGTTTACCATCTTCGGAAGGCACAAATTCTCACTTCTAAGAAGAAATGAATTATTATTTTGTTTTGGCAAAATTTCTTTGAGGACTTCTTAGTAGTTCTGGGAAAACTTGGCTTTAATTATACTTCCCTATCTGTTTTAACTTTCTTGCTCCGTAGATGGAGCTAGAGCTGGTCCCTAATCCCTATGTGTTGTTTTGATTACTCGTGTTCATGCAGATAGCAAGTAATCTGTTACAACTTACAAGAGTCAATTTTATACCTTCTATTATTTATCTTGCTATTGATTATAGCAAATACAAATTTGTTACCTCAGAAGATACTTGGATTTTCCTTCAGATTAGAAGCAAGAAATTATTAATAAATTAATTTCTGTGTTTTGTACAAGATAAATAATTTATTGTCCTCCAGCCAAGTGGTATATAGGTATCAGCTTTCTGCATAAAGATGCTATGGGTTTACCAATAGGCAAATAATTTAAAGTATGAATGTTTCTTGCATGTCCTAAGATTAACGGTTGAAATAATAATATTCTGCAACTAGATTAGCTTATGCTCTCAGTGAACCGTGTTTGCACTTCTTCTCCTTCTTATTTATTTATTTATTATTTTTTCTCTCTATGTTTTCACTATCCAATTCTTTCCATTTTTTTTCTTCAATTTTTGCTTGTTAATTTGCTCAACTATAATGAAATGAGGCCAATTTTCCCGAACAGTTTTGTTTGAGATTCTTTTTTATTTTCTTGGAAAGAGAGCATTGGTAAAGATGTAGAGAAATAAAGGTTCAAATCATCCATAGGCTAATGCAACTGTAGAACTTCACATCAGCTTCGCTTGTCACTTCCATCGGCTCTGCAACCATGGATATATCATTTTTAAACCATAACTCTGCTCCATGCTTTGATTCATTTCGTAGATTAGCAAGTATATCATGCAACATTTATGTAAGGATTTTTTTTTTTAATTTATTTTTTCATTGAAGTGATTAGAAAAATGGTATGTTCCCTTTGCTTTTCTTCGCCATTTTTTGCGATTATTCAAGACAATATAAAGTAGACTTACAAATTTTCAACACAGTGTGTATTAAGACTGTTCACTTAACACAAACACGGTATCGATGTTATTTGCAGCCAAGGAAATTCATACCTCTGGACTCAATACTTGCATGCTTGAGCTCCTCTGTCTCATTTTCCTTATACCAACTTGACAGAAATTGGGATACGAACATAATAGTGCTTGCCATTAAAAGAAGCCAAGCCCAGAAAACCTTGGACAAATGAGGTATTTGGGCTAGTGGGTAGGCGGTTAAATGTGACTTGATATGTCGTTTGTTGGTTCACCTTGGTGAAGACAAGGCTTCTAGGATTAACAGACTCATCAACACCTTGAGGAAAATCATAAAGCCAGATATAAGACGATTAGCCTGCCCAACATTTGTCATTGTCCTTGTGTATGTCTGATTGGTAGACCCCAGTGTAATAGCAAACGAAGGATAATTTAGTTGTGCTTCTGGTATAATCGATACATTCGAGCACTTCACCATGGTGCTCGTGATGAGCCCAATCTCTTTGTCCGTGTAGCCCAAGCCGCATAGGTAACGTATGTGTTGGAGAAAATACCAGAAACTAAACTATGTTATTGATAAATGATGTAAAGAAAATGAGATACAAATAGATTAGGCTGAGGCACGGATATCTCGTTTTCTTTAAGGAGATCAAGCCCACTGCGGTAGGAAGAATCCAAATACCGATGTAGCAGTCACAACACTATGACTTGTCCCCTCCAGGATACAACAGCCCGACCACTTGTCGTATGGTTCAGGCCAACTCTGCACAAGATGGTGAACCCAAAGCTCCACCAATAAAACACCCTTCTTTGCTAGTAAAATAGTTGATCTATATAGATGAAAAGAGTAGACTATATATAGGCTATAAGGACCTTACAGTTGCACCAAAAATAATGACCATTAAACAAGAAAATGGTTACACCAAAATAATGACCATTAACCAAGTTCATGAATTCTATTTAACCTCCATTTATGACCAAGAGGTTACTAAAGTAATAGAACCCCATTTATGAAAAAGATAAACCAATAAATAAATATAAGATATTAAAATGGTCCAACAATCCCCCACTCATTTTAGGCCAAGTTTGGCATCCTCAAAAAAATTCAAAAAGTCAAAAAGTCACTATCCTATTTAAGTCACATCATCTTATTTAAGTCACATCACCTCTCTATCACATCACTTCAAACCCAACCCATACCCAACCCATATTTCATAAAAAGTCAAAAAGTGCACTTATTTAGAACACCCCAAACAACCCCTTAATATCAACAAGGATAAAAGAGATTACCAAACAAAGATAGACTAGTGTGCATCATGAAGGTGTGCTCTGCATTGAACCTTCATTAGTGAAACAGCAACCTCTACTCCAGAGTCAGTAGTGGTCTCAGACTTAAACTATGACTGCTTAGGGGAAATAAAGTATTATTGCTCACACATAATAATCCAGGTGTTGACATGAGCTTTAATAACCAGCACATTACGGCCTTGTGCTAATCCCAGTTTTCATGAGCATATTTGAGAATAAGCCTTGTTCTCATAGAAAGCGGCCCCACTTTCATGCTCACATAGGTGAAATCTGTCAAGGATGTTCCTGTAATTTACACACCCCACTCAACAAGAGCTACAGAATTTCATTAAGAGTATAAAAACTCAACCCTCCAAC